CACCTCTCCTCCATCTTAAGACTCACCCCCCTCACCTTCTCTCCTCCATCTTAAAGACTCCTTCCTTCCTCTTCTCTCCTTCATCTTATTGACTTTCTCCTCCTACTCTCCACCATCTTAAGAATCATTCTCCACACTCCCTCCTCCATCAAAAGACACACATACTCCTTCCTTCCTTCCTTCCTTCCTTCTGAGACACTCTCCCTTCTCCCCCTCATCCCTCCTCTGCTATTTCACTCCTTCCTCGCCATCTTACTCTCCTGCCTTCCTCTCTCACCATCTTAAAGAGTTCACACTTTCCTCCTCCTTCATACACTAACCTTCACTATCCACACACACACACACACACACACACACACACACACACACACACACACACACACACACACACACACACACGCACGCACACACGCACGCACACACACACACATGCAGTTCAATACTCTTTAGTCGAGCATGACATATTGACCTGCCCAGTGTTTGCCCAGACTTTTCTCAAAGGTCAACATGTTTGGAGACGTGACCACCTCGTAATGCTCCTAGTGTTCCCGCGGCACCAAGTGAGTTGTCATGATGGTGGTGGAGGAGGAGTGAGAGGAAGGGAGGCTCTGACGGTGGATGTGGGAGGAGTGTGGGACAAGGGAGAATAGGAATGTTGTGGTGGTGTGGGTGGTTTATGGGAAGGAGGGGAGGGAAAAGTAATGTTTCGAGTGGTGGGTGGAGGGGAGGTAAGAGGGAGGGAGGGTAGAGAGAGGAGGGAGTGCTGTGAGGAATGGAAGAACAGGACAGGGAGGCCAGGGTAAGGGAGGGAGTGAGAGGTGTTAGAGGGGGACGGGAGAGAGGGGATCCCATGCCTTGCTGCCCTTCCAGGAGAGAGAAGCCTGGAGGTCATCGATTCCCCTCCTGTCTCCGCCCTGCCGTATGTAGGAGGAGGAGGAGGGGCAGGGAGGGGAGACGGAGGGACAGGGAGGGGAGACGGAGAAACAGGGAGGGGAGACGGAGGAACAGGGAGGCGGGATGGAAGAGCAGTGTAGGGAGGTGACAGGGACAGTCAACAGGGTAGCAGTCGTAATCAGATCTCCCTCCCACGCAGGCGCTAGGGATAGTTTAATGGGTTGTCACTTGTATTCTGTACCAGACGAAGCAACATCAGTGTTACAGGCGCCCGACAGGGAAAAAAACCCCACAGAGTTCACGCCTGCCATCTTTTACACTCAGATGATGAATTAGCGAGAGTGCCTGTTGGGGCCATTAGTTGAGTTAGCCAGTTACATGTAGTGAGGGAAGGACAAGTGAACATAGAGGAGATTCCCAGTAGAGGTTCACCTGTTTATAACAAAGCGTAGTAGGTTCCTAGTAATGTCGCGGTAGGCATGTAGCATAAGGGGGTACGGAGAAAGAAGGGCATGTTGAGAGGGGATGGGAGGTGTGTATAAGGAGTAGGAGACTGAGAAGGTGTTGTGAAGATGGAAAGGATGAAGAGACACAAGTGGTGGAGTGGGATACCGAAAGGAATTAAGGTGGAGCGGCTAGAGGATAGGGTAAGCCTACACGCCCCACCCCCCCCCCTCCCCATCTACAGTACACACACGTGCCCTAAACCTACACAACCCCCACCCCCTCAACATCACCCCACCCTCCCCATCATGTACACCTCCATCGTCATCCTTCATCATAAAATAAAATAAAAAAAATAAAAATCCGGAAACTTGACCATCGATTGTTTCCTGTCTCCGAGCTGTCTGCACTCTCCGTCCCCACCACTACTAACACCATCAACAACCATCCTTTACACTAATCCACCACTAGCAATACAACTAAAGCTATAACTCCCATCACAACAACAATTACCACTACCAACACCAATAACATCACAACATACAACCACAACTGTCACCGCCATCATCTATGTTGCACCAATAGACCATCCAATTCCGGGCTATGATTTGATTTCAATGTCCATTTATCCAAAGTTCACTATCAACATTCATCATTACTCCAGGGGCAGACAATGCCTACAGCTCGCAGAATAACACCAAACATTATTTTCCCCCCAGTTTCTTACATCACCAAAAGCAAACAATCACATTAACTGCTACCACGACCCCACCTCACACACACACACACACACACAAACAAATCACAACCATCAAATGAAACTTGCCATTTTAATTTCTTTAGACTGACTTCAATTATTCATTAAAACGACAGGTGATCGGGGGGGGGGGCGCGATGAAGGTAAACACGCGACCTAGCTCACTATAACCAATCAGCTGGAGACACTAGGAGGAGACCTGGAGACACTAGGAGACGTGTAGAGTTGAAAAAGAGTCGACCCGAATAGTAAGTTGTTGCGGCCTTTAATACCCACTCAAGAGTAGCACTGTGGTACTTATTCTCAGCTGAAGGTAGCACTGTGGCACTTATCCTCAGCTGAAGGTAGCACTGTGGCACTTCTCCTCAGCTAAAGGTAGCACTGTAGTTCTTATCAACAAATAACGGTAGAAGTGTCACTCTTATCACCAAATAACGGTAGTACTGTAGCTCTTATCACCAGCTGAGGAAGGGCTGGAGTGGCCTATCCTGCTGTTGGTGTCCCCGTCATATTCAGAGATCAAAGTGTCCCGCGCACTATGACAGCTTAGCATCTCCATTGTGCGTCGCCTCGGGTGATTGCACTGTATACATACATATATTACGCGAGATCGTGTTATCTGCGCTATCTTGGAAACCTGGGAGAGTACGGGGGGGGGGTGCGGGGAGGTGGTGGAGGAGGTTGGGGGTGGGAATGGGGCTACGGAGTAAAACATCTATGACTACTCACGACCTGAACCAACCAAACCAACCTTACAATTTTATATATATTTTTTTTTGTAAAACTAAGTCTAGTTAGACTACAATTGGCTGATTCATGCCGTATTGCAGCCCACTTCTAGTAGCCTGCAAGAACCAAGAAACGCCCAAAAGCTACTAGAGCCAACTTATCTAGTAACGCAGTAAGAACAAACTGGCCTCTAGTATATAGCCCCTGCAAGCCCCAAGAAATACAACCAGCCAAGTTTGACCGTAAAATAACAATGTTGTCTGACTGAGGTGTGTGTGTGTGTGTTGGAGGGGGGGGTTCACACTAAAAATCCCCCCCTACCAGGCTGCCGCCATGAAGTACACAAGGGGTCGTGTATTATTCAAGCGACGGCCCACTAACGCCACTCTAGATTGCAGCTTACACCGGCGATACACACATACGGCGACAAAATACTGTAGATACGAGACAACGTGAGAAATAACCTTGTCGACCCGACACGTGAGAGGTTTTACGTTTCAGCTTCTTGTGGGGAGGAGGGAGGGCAGGAGGAGGAGGACGGGGGGGAGGAGGAGGACGGGGGGGAGGAGGAGGAGGAGGACGGACGGGGGAGGAGGAGGAGGACGAGGGACGGGGAGGAGGATGGGGGAGGAGGACGGGGGGAGGAGGAGGACGGGGAGGACGGGGGAGGAGGAGGACAGGGGGAGGGGGAGGAGGACGGGGGGAGGAGGGAGGGACAGGGGGGAGGGAGGACGGGGGGAGGAGGAGGACTGGGGGAGGAGGACTGGGGGGGAGGAGGAGGACAGGAGGGAGGAGGGACGGGGAGGAGGAGGAAGAGACAGGGGTGGAGGATGACGGGGGGTGGAGGATGACGGGGGGAGAGTAACGTTAAAACCTATTAAAGCTTCCAGTCATGAGATGTTTCACGTTGTTATATGTTCTGGGGCTTTAAGCTTCCAGTCATGAGATGTTTCACGTTGTTATATGTTCTGGGGCTTTAAGAAGAGACACAACCTTGTGGATTTTGAACTGGCGAGTCACATTGTATTTTGTGAGAAACTAAACCTTGTAGATTCAAGACCAAGGAGATAAAACCTTGTAGAGATTAAGGATTTTGACACAAAACCTTATTGATCCAAAACATGACAAACAAAAGCCTTGTAATCTCGAAGCATTTGAGGTTCTACACTAACTTCCACTCAATTTCACGACTCGCTACATAACCTTGTAGATACACGGAACCTGTATTACATTGTAACTTTTCTGGACCTTTGGGCTCCAACCAAAACCTTGTAGACAAAGACGGGAGAGAACTACCCTGTAACTTATTATGGAGTTTCAGGACTCACCCGTGTGGACTACGAGACAACTGAGGCTCTGCGGTGTATAGTAACTTGTTTTGGGATCCATGACTAATGATATGTTTGTAGATACGAAGCCTCGGACGAGAGAACAACAAGAATCAGAGTATACGCCAATTAGCAACCTCGCCTCTTATGGCCACTACCGCATCAGAAGCGGACGTACAGTATACCTCATCCTAAAATCTGGATACGGTGGGAGAAGCCGACGGAGGATATCAAGGAGGAAACACATGTCGACGGAGATTTCAAGAGTAGAAGAAAAACATTCCTCATCAAGACAACTGTACTGCTACAACACACACCAACACCACCCTCTACCAACACCACCCTCTACCAACACCACCCTCTACCAACACCACCCTCTACCAACACCACCCTTTACCAACACCACCCTCTACCAACACCACCCTCTACCAACACCACCCTCTACCAACCACACGTTTACCATAACAATCACACAATACACATCTTAAGTTAACGGAGTTGTGATGCTAAAAATAGAAAGATTTTGTTGAGGCTTGGCTTAACCTGGGATATTAAAGAACTAAAGTTTAAGCTGTATTTTTTATCAAATGTTAGATTAAGCGGTGATAGCCTTTGCAATCTTGGTGGTAAGCTTGGGTAGCCTATACAACGTTAAGCTTTTTTTAGTTATTAAATGTTGGTTTAAGCATAGACAGAAAAAGTTAAAGATTTCGATTCAACAACAAAACATACGTAGATTAAATGGGTGAAGGCAGGTGGTGTGAAAGAAGTGCCACTCGCGGTGGGAGAGAGCCAGTGACATGGGAGTGTCCTGACCTCTCCAGTGGGGTTCCTCGCCACGTACTTACTTTTGATGGGACGACCATTCGGTGCCTCGCCTTGAAAAAGGAGAAACTTGGCATAAGAACATGGCACGATTATCATCTTCACAACAATGTTTTAGTATATGAAAAATAAAACATGGTATCCTCTGTTGGCATAAAAATGTTATACGATTATGAATGTTACATAACATAAAAACATGGTACCACCAAACATCACTCGGCTACTGAGAACATCCCATAAACAGCACGGTTATTATCTTCACAATATAACGTGTTAGCATAAAACAATGACATGATTGTGAATGTTATGTCAATGACGTAACGTGATAAACTGGCACCTTCATCAGCTTATGTACCTCATGTTAACTACAGAACACACGGATATTGGTCACCGTATATCTCGGTAAAACAGCACAGTTATTACCCCCACAATGTTAAAAACAAGGGTGACAAGAACTGGTTCATTGGTTGTATTAACTCGCACATAGAAAAACACGTCAACACACTTGGTTACTTACACAATACGTGACTAAGATGAATCAATCACTTCTAATGACTCTTTAATGTTGTTTACACTCAAGCCTTCTTGCAACACAAATACATATACAGTATCATAATGGTCAATACTAATGACCCTAACGTTCTGTATACGTTGCTCAATCTACCTGAACCTTTGTTTCAACATACACCGACGTTACAATCAATACAATGACAATAACGAGTTTTTTACGTAGTCAATACTTAAACCTACGTTACAACACACATGCACGCACGCACGCGCACACACACAAGAACGCACACACACACGCGCACACACATGTACACGCAGGCCGGCAAACACACACACACAAGTACACGCACACACACATGCACACGCAGATGTGCGCGCGCACACACCCCCGCGCTTTATAAGTTGTCAGTATTCACCTTCCATCTTCATCACAACAAACACAGACATTTCATGTTGATAACACTCATCTTAACATCATATATACAAATGATCTTTATTTTGTCAATAATCGACTCTGATTTCGTCACAATACACACAAACATAGAACACAATGACAACATGTGAATTAGTCTCTTCTTACACTGTGTATATTATTTTGTGACGTTTTACACTGCCAATCAACTCTGGGTATGTTACGTCACTAATACAAGACCAACATAATGCAGACGTCACAAATACCATCCTGGTCTCTTACACAAGACTTCCAGCGACTCTTGTGTTGCCAATCATCTTCACTGACCATTCATCAGTTTTCCAAGTCGTCTTCTGTACCACTATTTAATTCCATCTTTCTTACAACACAAACAACTGACACAAAGACAAAACTATTTTTATTTTCTTCCTCCTAACACAACAATGACAACACTACCAATGTTAACCCCAAAAAATTACCAGCATTATCCACACAAAACTACCAGTATTATTCCAGTAAGACTACCAGTATTATCCACACAAGACTACCAGTATTATTCCAGTAAGACTACCAGTATTATCCACACAAGACTACCAGTATTATTCCAATAAGACTACCAGTATTATTCCAGTAAGACTACCAGTATACTCCTCAAACAGCCACACAGCTACTAGACCACTAACGCCCACAACATAAAACTGGGCCATCCCCAACATTCTCAAAGCCCGGATCGCACTTTTTTACATACATGAATACATAAAATGTATACAAGGGAAAGAGGGTGAATATGCCAGCGTATTGTCTGTCTTTATGTATACTGAAAAACGCATAAGCATATATACAATGATTTACATATATAGGCAAACTCTCTCTCTCTCTCTCTCTCTCTCTCTCTAAAATTAATTCCCATGAGATAATTATGCTCTCGATCTCCAAGACAATATTGCGCAGCTGTAAAGATTCGCAATAAACTAATGTCAGTCACCTTTGGAAAGTTATCTCTTCTCAAATAACAAAATCTTGGAAGTTTATCTCTTAATCCGGATTAAATTCTCTTTATTTTGAACGGGTTTTCCCACCGGGTTAAAAATTTGTTCAGTCTCTTTCCGTCGATTATATCATACAGCTGTGGCGATATATCTGGTCTCAGTAATTCACGACACGCAACTCTGAACAGAAGATAAGACTATCGGTATAATTTTTGCAGCTTGAGAGTGCCGCTTTAGTTACTGTATCGGAGTATCGCTCAGTCTCTTATGTAGCGAAAATTGTCACACTTGGAGAATAAAGTACCTTTTTCTAGCAGTAATTTTACCGTTCCATAAATAGGCTTAAGTATGCTCAAGAATCTGCCGTTACGGTTCGTTAAGTCACACTCATAAAAAAAAAAAAACTCGCCTGCAAAAAAGCATTCACCAACCAGGTCAGGAAAGGCGGGGCACCGAGCTGAATAAACACAGAGCAAGAAACAAACCACAAACTCTCCCCCTTTTTGGTCGGTCTCCCACGCAGGATATTCGCCCCGGTTGTTCGTATATAGGATGTAAACAAACAGCTGCGACGCCTGTACATTCATAATATAAAACAGTCCTGCTAGTCTGACAATATACTCCATTTACGGTTTACATGTAACATCCCTCACTAGTCTCAGGCTGTGTACTGCTGCTGCATTTCAATTATAACCAATGCATAGTTTCTATTGCCTACCAGCTGTTACATTAACTGAACTGCATCACAATGTGCAATGAATCTCCACTGTTCAAGAGATACACAGCCCTAATTATAGGTGTATGAAAGGCCCGAGAAACTTATCAAGCGTCTGGTGTCCAAATTTGTTGAAGATTAAAACGCACTGAGAAAAATATGTGAAAATCATTGCCAGAGCCTGTTTTACTGTTACAGAGAGTCTCTCTCAAATTGTTTGTGTTGGACTCAACTTATCTGTTCATGTTTAAAGTTAAGGGGTTACACATTTTTAGGTGCACGCGCGCACACGCACACACTAGAAATGCATCTTTTCATTATGTTCTTCACAACCGTATAGACAAGGTCCAAAAACAGTAACGTGCTACTCTGAATCTCTATTGCGTATTGCAATTTAATCAAATGTATGTGAAACTCTGGTGACAGATCAAGATTAATAAATTGATTATCTGTCGTACATCTGGCGTCGTAACAGTTTGTTAGGTTTTCTACCTTAAACTAACGTATCAACTACCTGCATATATAAATTACTCTCATGTACAGTAGTTGCAACTATACTCAAAAGATATTGTGTGTGTGTATATAGCCAAGATGAAGACAATAACATAAGACAACATGTACACTCACACTCTCACTCTCACTCTCTCTCTCTCTCTCTCTCTCTCTCTCTCTCTCCATTAGTATTACCTCTACGTGTCGGGCGACTTCTTACATGTCTTGCCACATCTTTCGCCGCTACGAGTCGGTCACTAATAATCAACAGCGGGCCAACACCTTGCCCCCGGGGAGTGAGTGAGTCACACACACACACACTAGTTAGAACCTTGGAACTACCACTCATAACTCTGGCTCTCGGATTCCCACAAGGTTTCGCGCGTTAAAGCTAATCCCCATTCCTTTAACTGAGAAAATACCTACCAGCACACCTAAGCTACGACAAAGATGGCTGGCCGGTCGTGTGAAAGTCGATCACACACACACACACACGAGACAGTCGCCTCGCTCAATTTAATAGGTAAGAGATTTTTAACGTACGAATGATTAAGAGTGAGAACCCAGTATTGACCAAATACTTATACGGTGTTGACCTTTACACACCGTCTCCTTACCGCCATTCATGGACCTTTCTCCTTGCTGAAAACATCTCACAAAAAAAAAAAAAAAAAGAGGCAAAAGTGTGTCGACAACCCCCTGCCTGATAGCTCCTACCATGTCTGTGCTACATACTGTAACCTCCTTACTATCCAACCCATCCTATACCTCTTTCTCCCTGCCCTGCCCTGCCCTGCCCTGCCCTGCCCTCCCACACTCCCAGCAATAGTAACTCTCCTCTCCTCAATGTCTAAAGCATGTTTATCTGGACTTTGGCATGACTCTTCACTGTCAATAATAAAATAACAGAAAATGTGTATCCTAGAAGCGTTTCAACTATGACTACGAATTTATAATGTGCAGTATTCGTCATTACCCTAAATACGGAATGTAGAATTGATATGTACCGTACTGGGCATCACTTTCCTTGGGGCTAAAAGAGCGTACTAACTTTTCAACATAACCAGAGCAGAATTCTGTTATACGTTCCACTGTCAACTGCGTCACCATATCATACTTAAAGATAAAGGTCTGCTTACTATCCCCGCTAACCATTCATGCGCGCGTGCGTGCGTGTGTGTGTGTGTGTGTGTGTGTCTCTCTCACGCGAATAATAAATATCCACTCCAGCCCGCAAATCTCCCTCTCCACCCCCCTATACATCTAATACCACCCCCCTCCCCACATACCACCAAGAGATGACGCCACAGTGCAGTTGTGCCAAGGACGCTACAACACGGTAAAACTTAACTGCATTAGCCCCTGAGGAACACCGTCCAATATCAAGTGACACACCCATTAGTTAAACGATAACAGGAAGAGTTGAAAAAAAATAACAAAATAAGAAAAAAAAAGGTGAAAGAGGAGGTGGAAGGACAGACTAAAGATGAAATAACAGAAGAGAAAAAGGGTGTTGAGAGGAGTGGAAGGAGGATGTGGAAGCGAAGGAAGCAAGGTGAGAGAAGGAGGAAGAGGCGATTTAGAAACGGTGGGTGGAGAAGAGGATATAGAGAGGAAATGAGGCAAGAAAGATGGAGGAGAGACATGAGATGAGGGTTAAGCTATAAGGAGCATGATAAAGTGAGGCAAATTGGAAGGAAGGAACAAGTGTGTGTCAAGAGAAAGAGGATGAAGTGAGGCAACGTGAGAGGGGTTTAAGAGGAGAGAGGAAGACGAGGGTGATGATAAAGTAGGGGCGTGGGAGACAACGCGAGAGAGGAAGGAGTATCAGGAGAAAGAGAATATACAGGAAAGAGATAAAGAGGGGTAAAGGAGAAGGAAACATTTAAGAAAAGTGGACAAGGAAAAATGAAACCAAAATACGGTAAAGAATGA